TTAAAAATAATAATTCATTCCTAATTTTTGTCATTTAATCTTTATTTTTTACAAAAAATAATAAATATACGGACCGAAATCGGTCCGAATATAAAAATGAAATTTCCGATTTTCTAATGAATATATACAGACCAAAATCGGTCCGTATAGATTTCTTTAAATAATATTTAATTCATATTTTTTGTTATTTAATATTTATGTTTTTCAAAAATAATATTCGGACCGTTTTCGGTGTGAATATTATTAGCGCTTTGATACTGTGGATTCCCGCTAGAAATATACGGACCGATAACGGTCCGAAAATGTTCAATAGTATACTTTGGACCACCTAAATATGTTTGAAACGATATTGGTTCGGATATTTATTTATTTGGACCGACACTATTCAGTCCGTATATGTTCGGTCCGTATACGTCATTTTTCTAGTAGTGTGTATCCCATGTTACCAAGAAAGGATTGCATCTTCTCTTAGACGTGGTTGTGAAATGGATTAACATAACATTTCAGGTTCCGAGGCATTTCTTTAAAATAAGGTACAAACTGACCACTTTCCACATCAATTGCTATTTTCTCATTTGTTATACATCATGTACAATACAGAGTCCATCGTTTACCATACAAGTCTTTGTATTCCTTATGTGCTCTATTTTAATTATCCATATCTCAGTTCTTTAAGATTTTTGGTGTCGAAGTTGAGAATAAATTTCAGGCCTTGCATTGGTTCGGAGCTCTTCGCCTTCACTGCAGACGCCGGGAAACTCAAATGGGATTACTGTCATTTTTGGCTCCATCGTCTCACCAAACCTATGTCTTTAACTGAGAAATATACCGTCAAAATTTCCACTCCGGCTGGCCAGAATGTACTGCATTTTATGCTGTAGAGTATCATCCTTTCAGAAGCCATGCCAGAACGAAAGAAACGGGGATACAGTGCAGTGGAATTCTCGACCTTGGGAAAGTGAAGATATGGTGTGTAAATGAATGAGAATCGGTTTTGCTACGTGACAGAGTCCACAAAGAAGGCTAACCCTCGAAAGCATTCTTCTAGGGACAATAGCGTTAACAAGGATCATGGAATTGTGCATATTGTTTGCTTTTTGTTTCTCATTTTCCAGTGGGTTGTTATACAATCAAGTGGTATAGCTGTTGTGTTGACAGGCAAGGTTCTTATTGGAGTCTTCTCCCTCTGAACTCTGGACCTGAGTTTATTGTACAACAATCTTCCTGTAAGCTAATATCACAATATACGTACAAATATTGCGAAAGCCTTTGTTTTCGTCCTTAGAGTATTGAAAGGAATAGTACAAAATTGCTAATGCGGCCCCTGCTGTGCCCCTGCTGTGGTGGAAAGATTAAGACCTCACAGCATTGAAGTTGTGAGTTTGAGTGTTTTTGCATGAACAAAAAATGGCATTTTTACCTCTCTTTTATAAAAAAAAACTTTTTATGTTGTATTTGGCAAATGTGATTCTAGTGTCTTTCTCAATGTTCAAAAAAAAAAATAAACTTTTTAAGAAAGTTTTTATAAAAAGATAAATAATTAAAATATTATATAAAATTTAAAATATATTATGCGAGAAGTTATTAAGTTTTATAATAAAATTTTATTAATTTATTAATTTCATTATATTTTTTAGGAAATAATAAAAAGTTGTGAAAATTTTATAAAAAAGGTAAGATAAAAAAATTTATGAATTCAAAATTATTATAATAAAAATAAAAATTAAAAATATTATTTTTTATCATTATTCGTTATAATTATAATTTTAAGGAGTATAATAATAATTGTATAAGTACGGAGGGAACATTCCCCAAGTAAGTATGCCAAACATCCCCTAAATGCCCATGCGACTATGAACGATAAAAAGGGCCCATGCGGTAATTGTGGTACCGGGCCTATAAAGCCCCTATCCCGAAACAGTTAAAGGCCCCCGCCTGGCCACTTCTATATCCCCGGGTGATTACTTAGAGACTGGGCCACCGGAGGAATTGAGAGAGTATCCGAGGAAGAGATCAGACAATTCTTTGTGGGAAACCATAAAGAAAATGGCAAAAGCCCCCCATTTGCCCTTCAACTTTTCAAGTTTGAGGCATTTTACCCCTTATATTACAATATAGAGTTTTTACCTTCCATGTTTTTGAGTTTAGGGAAATAAAGCAAAATTTAACGCTAGAGGGTCATGCACAATACATGTATCATTAGTCTCCGTTATACATTCATACGTCAATGCCAACTTAGATTTTTTTTACATGTTAACAAGTCTAACTTGGATCTTTTGTGAGTTAGAATTCTACTACTAACAATTTAGTTTTTTTTTTTTTTTTTTTGTTCCTCTTTTTCCTCTTTCCTCTTTTCCTTTCTTCAACTTCTACAAACCCTAACATCTCAACCAATTTATTCATCTCAACCCTTTCTCTTTCCTCTACCATTGCTGGGTTCAATCGAACCCAATGGATTTGTTGGGTATCGAACCCAATAGGTTCATTGGGTTCCATGCCCAACTAATTTGCTAGGTTTCATACCCAACAGAACCGTTGGGTTCAATCAAACCCAATGGATATGTTTTATTGTTTCAAACCTAGTAGCTATTAGGTTTCGAACCCCAGCAGCTCCACTGGGTTCTTTTGAACCTAGCAAGCCTCAAATGAGGCAATTTTATTTGATGATAATGATGAATTAATTGTTCGATTTAGAATGAATGAATGAATGAAGAAGATTTGAGATGGAGGATGTTGAGGAAGAAGATGAGGGCAAAATTGTAAATTTGATGGATTGAATAATTATATTTGTTTGATTAGGTGGCAAAGGTTATTAACCACGTCGTTTATTTATCCTATTGTCAATTTTATGTATTAAATATTTGGATATGTCATTTTTACTCCATCAATTAACAGGCCACATCAACAAAAATTTAATGGAAGGACCAAATCGAAGCTAAAATGATAAACAGTAAGGACCAAATCAAGAATTTTTTAAGTTTAAGGACCAAATTCAAGGTCTATATAATAGTTCAAGAACCAAAATGAGGTTTTAACAAAAAAAAGTATAAATAAGGTGTGAAGTTTATATTTTTTATTTGAAAATATTAATTTTATTAATTTTTAAATAAATAGAGTAATTTTAAAATTTTTTATTTGAAAACATTACATAATTTTAAATTTTTATTTAATTTTAAATAAAAAATAAAAAATTAATTTCTTTATTTAAAAGTTTACAAAATTAATATATTTAAATAAAAAATAAAAAATTGATATCTTTATTTACATATTTATTCAAATGATAATACTATAGTTACAATATTATATATGATTCCAAACTTATAATTCTAT